AATTTAAAGTCTAAAGGGTTGAGGTCTGGGCTAAATGAGAGCCAGTCTTCAGCTCTTATTATAGTCCGGAACGTTGGTTTCAAGCCATGCTTGGGTAGTTCCTGCCTTGTGACCAGATGCAGAATCCTGCTGGAAAGTCAACGGTATATTTTTAAAAATTGTATTGCTGAAAGGTTTCACAACATGATCCAAGCCTGTATCAGGATAAACTTTGGCTGAAATTTTAACTCCTTTTTCACAAAAATGTAGTTTTGTGACTCCTTGATAAGACACGCCCCACCATACCCTCACTGAGCTGGATTCCAAATTTCATCCTTCTAGGTCATCTGGAAGAAGGTTAGATTTAGGTACTAAATATCAGCCAGTCAGTGCTAAAATTTACTACATTTTGACCTTCTTAAATTTATAACTGTTTGAGCTAGCTTCATGAATTTTGTGTTTCTAGATGTCCTTATGAATATAACTAAAGACACGTAGTTTTATGTGTTTACGTTAAAGAGGTTTTGAGTTATAGAAGGGTCAAAATTGGCACCAAGTAGTTCGTGTAATATTCCCTTCGGCGCTGGCTAGCCAGTTCCTTTGCTTGAACTTGGCTTGACACGCTGCCGCGTGTCTATACAAGTTCCAAGCTTCAGGTCTAGTTTTATAATATGCGACAGAGTCCAAGCGGGAATCTCTATTTCTCGCGATAAGATTTTTTGATTGCTAAATGGGGTTTCGACGAATTCTGGCTTTAACAGCATTAACAGCCTTTGTAGTTCTAACAGCACGCCGCCGCCCCGATCTTTTCTGGTCTTTGACAGACGAAGTGTTGTTGTATCTGCTTTTGAAGTGTCCGATGGCTCCATACCCACTTTGTGCAAGGCAATCACTGCAATCCTATTTCCGTTAACACCCTATTCCATATCGTTATTTGATAATGAACACGAAAAAATATGTGAAATGGCGCAAAATCGAAAAAAGTTTTCTAAATTCAAAATAATTAAAAAGTTAAAAAAAATGAGAAGTTTTTATGTAAGAGTATATATGGCCAGACTTGTTAGAAAAAGCAATCTCTATTTATATGAATCTATGTATCTCAACTAAAATACCTAAATCAAAATCAAACTGCATCTCAAACTCAAAATCAATTCGATATTTTTTTTTACTACAATTGATAACTGTCCATTTGTTTTTGTTTCCTCCAAGGATCGAGTGTGAAATCCTCATGGAAACCTAACAGACGGCTGCAAGGTTTTGTCAGACTCTTACTGACTAAAACACACCCGTACTTCATGCTTATGGCCAGAACGGCCTTACGAGCTTCCTCTGAAGCGATAACCGCCGATTTTTTCAAGTACTTATACTTTTTGACTCAGAAGCCGTTGCCGTTGGTACTCGCGGTAGCGTTGTGGTATTAATATTTTATTGTGGATTTTAAATAGTTTTATTTTTAACAATATGTTGCAATTGAAGTCACTATATTTTTTCTTCCTAAGGAATTTACAATAGGAAAGAAATTTTCTTTAACCAAAGTTGATCGACTATAACTCATAACGAACAAGTCTATCTGAACCGTTATAGTTTTTCTTAAAAGTTATAAAAAGCACTATTATTATAAAATTTTCCAGGTGTTTTTTTAACCAATAGTTTATTTTTAAGCTTTTAGAGGGGGTGGGGGGTAGGGGGAAGGGTCCTACTCGAAAAATAAATAGCACTTTAAAGTTCAATATTTCGCATACGAATCCCTAAGTAAATTTAAATAACCTGTTCAACGATCTCACACGATGGTGTACATGATGAAAAAAACATTCATCCCCAGTTTACATGTAGCGGAGCTACGCTAAAATTTTTTTTCAAAAGACGGATTTGACGAAACTGTAAAGGTATGTTTGTCAGGACTACGGAACCCTAAAAAAGGAATAAAATATTTTCTTTATATCATAACCATATCCTGTTTACATACCTCTTCTTTCACCAATATATTATTAGCTCTAAAATCACCATGACACAAGCATGTTGATTTGTCAGCCGGAAACCCAACGTAGTTTTTATATACTTGAACGATTTTATCCTTAAAATTTTCCAATCTTACTTTTAAATCACTATCTAAACAGTTGGCTGCAGTAGCACATGCAGTGACTATATAATCTTCCCATTCCTTAGTTAATTTTACTGGATAACGAAATGGTTTTACTTTCATCTCATAATATTCTGGATTCTTACATTTCAATACAAAAGATAATGCATGAAATTTTGCAAGTTGTTTTAACGATATTTCAGCAAATTGAAGTGATATCGGTTCGAGCCTGTTTCGAGTTGTGAAGCCTTTTTTACTCATATTCTCGAAGATGATGGCTTCCAAATTGGACTCATTATAGCTTTTTGCCCTTCTCAATCTTTCGTCAATTGGAATATTCGCTTCGTCTTGTAGTTCATCATATATCGTTGATAGTTCATTGTAGTAGAAAACTTCTCGTTTGTAAAATTCGTCCACTAGAATTATACTGTCTTGTAAAGACTGAAATTTATTTTTTACAAAAAGACTAATTTCTTTATTAGCTGTTTCAGTTTTTCCTTTGATATTTATCGTTTGAAGGATTGCCATGTAATTACCACCATTAGTTGAAACGTCTTGAACCTCTACTTTATAGTCTTGAAAGCCTTCTGTTTCTGCTATTCGCTTAATGCACTTGTTGATGTTCGGGGCCACATTACGGTCAATTTTATGGTTAGATATTTCAACACAGTCACTTATACAGTCCGCCATTACTTCAAAGGCAAAAATACAAATTGCAATGAGATGTGTTATCTGGACCCCGCTATCTTATATAAGTACAATTCTAAAGTCTAATGCACATGATATAAAATTTAATATTATCAATAGTAATACCCATACAGTGAAAAAATAGTTTGAAGTTAAATATGGGTCAAAATCATTAATAATTATGTTTGTTGATAAAATTTATTCCATACAATACATATTGGCATGAAACTTCTTTTTTTTTAATTGTTTCAAGGTGTCGCCGCCTCGTTAGGTCCCGGGTTTGAATCCCGGTGGGGGCAGATGTTTATGTGACGAATACGAGATTTTGTACTCCAGTCATGGATGTTTAATATGTATTTCTATATAAATATACTTATATACGTATTCTATCCGTTACCCTAGTATCCCATAACACAAGCCTACAGTGCTTACTTTGGAGCTAGGCTAATTGGTGTGAGTGTTGGAAATATTTATTTATTTATTATTATTTAAATTCACTTTTAAGTACATATAATATTTTAATTGTTTCTCATAAAAATATCTTAGTCAGTCCGTGGCTATCCAATATCTGTTATGTGTAAAGTTAGGTATATAATTAGGGTGAAGCCAAAAGAAAAAGAACAAGTATTTTATTGTTATGAGTTGTAACTAAATATGATTTAAAAAAAATATACAACTTTTTGTAGCGTTTTCAAAAAGGAATCGGAATCGAGTCGAATGCAGTTCACTTTACCTATGGTGCAGGTTGTGTGATGCACATGGGCGTAGCGGTCTCAGTAGCCGCCGAGCCTTACACTTTAAAATACAATCCACATCTATTAAGTGAAACCAATATTACAGATCTACATAAAAATTTGATCATTGTGCACTAATCTTAATGTAGGTCGCCTGTTGACGCGACTGGAAATAGACCGTTACACAAATTATAACACATTTTGTATTATCACTAATCATTTTGGAATTACCTTATTTACTAACTACGCGTCCATTATTATTCATTATCTTGCAACAAATAAAATAATTCCATGTTTTATTTTATATTGTTAAGATAAAACATTCACTATCAATTCTCTGTAAACAGCCAGCTGTATATTAAAATAAAACTCATATTTCGTGAAATATTTGCATAAGTACTTGTGTGAATATGTATTACTGGAGATGTCCTGCGGTTTCACCCACTTTAATTGGAGGAGAAATGTTATAGTTAGTCGACATTAAATATTACACATAACTGTGCTATCGCAGTCTTTTTTAAAGAAACATTAAAGAGGAACTATTCCGTTAAACATGAGTTTTGTGTAAAGGCGGGTACAGACTGATGTAACGTAACATGCAATGTAACACGCTTTGAAAGAATTTGCCGTCCACATTGTCGCAATGTATCCTGCAATGTAACAGATTTCCCATAGTGTGGACGCCTTGCGCGCGCGAACCGTGCACACAACGCGCACGAACAGAGCATTTCAATTCGTGCGCGCCGCGATCCGCCATTTTTCGGTTTTTTCGCCGAACACAAAGGGGCGCGCAGTGTGCACGGAGCGCCCGTGTGGACGGGTTGTCTGTGTCTGTACTGCGGAACGCGCGCGAACCATGGAAGAAAACACAGCTACGGCAGAGCCTACACTTGAATTATGCCTACACATGATTGATGATAATCAACCGACACCGACAATCATCGTAGCCACTAATTGGTCGTCATGATCCATTCTCTTCGCTTGTTATCGGCAGACTGAGCGTTTGCCGCGCGCATGCGAGTACGTACATGCTCTGTTCGTGCGCGCGCTGCGTCCACACTTATGAAATGCTCCTTTCATGTTACATTGCATGTTGCGTTGCAGCGGTCTGTACCCGCCTTAACATTAACCGTTTGTGCGAACCACTCAAATGGATATTACATTCCGTTTTTGAATAATTTTTCATTAATGCTCTGCTCCTCCTGGTTATATCGTGATGTGAAATAGCCTCTAGCCTTCCTATATATGTAAATATATGTATGAGATATCTACAAAAAGATCTTTTAAATCGCACTGATAGTCCCTGAGATAAGGGCCTTCAATCAAACAAACTCTTCAGCTTTATAACTTTATATTTATTTTCAGGTACCTACTACCAGAAGTCATCATGAACAATACTTCTGCAAAACTCATTGGTACACCAGCGAAGCCCAGAAACAAAAAGTAAAATGGCCACAGAAATAGCAATGTGCACACAGAAAAAGCGATGGCACACAAAGACAGTAGAGAGGAGAAAAACGATGAAAGCACCAACCGGGACGAGGTTGAGTTTCGTAATGTTAATTTTAGTTTTGCTGCCTTATAGTTCAACTTTAAGCCTTCCGAGTGGAGACCCCGCACCAGGCAGATCACCAGGGCCACCTGAACTAGAAGACGATGAAGTGCCAGATCTTAAAGTTGAAGCAACAATCAAAGCAGCGACGAACATAGAACCTGATTACGATACCAGTACGACGTTCGAGGATGTAGAATTAACTACAATTAGTGATTTCAGTGTTAGTGAGAGGACAGTGGGTGATGCATGTGCCTTCGCGAGGATCCCTAGCGATAGTGACGAAGTAGTTACGATCGGATCTGGTGATAGTGATGTTAATTTGACGGTCAGCCATCCAGTGTTTGAAGCGGCGGAGATCGTCAGAGGAGTTGTGTATGATGGTGAGTTGTAGATGTTAATAAATTTGCACCTTTATTTTGAGCCAGAATTCGTATGAAACCCACTACGACAACGGCTAACTAGAGCCGAGGTTCGAATTTCAGGGCCGACATTCTCAGTTTCGAGTGGTCTAAAGGCTCCAGACGGAGAGGAGACTCCCACCGAGGGTAGATGCCATCCGCCTGGAATACCTCTAAAGGCACTTGCCGATTCCCGGCTTAATTTTATTAGAATATTAGAATTAGAATCTCGCCATCCCCAAGCCCTGTGAAGTTGTAAAAATTACCAACAACATACACACACAAAAATGACTTAAGAAAATGAATAGTAGTTTTGGATGATGCTACAGTCCATAATTTATATTTACAAAAGTACTGATGAATTTTTTTAGTATCGTAAAATATAAACGTCTCTAAAACAGATATAAAGTTTATTAAAAGCTTTGTCAGATTTAGGCTAATTTTATACAAATTTCGAAAGTTTAATTATCTAGAACATCTGTGATAAAATATCTTTCTAACGATTAGATTAAAGTCTGATTTAGAAATTGAAGTATTGATATTGACGAGCAATCTATTATACTATTCGGGGAAACTTTGTGTCCTCCTTCAGTTCGTAACCAGAGTTTGTTGGAATTTTGATTGAAAAGGCTAATCATCGAGCGGGATATCACAAAAGGTATATCTGAACTTTATTATGTCTTAAAATCACTTTCATGGTGTACTGTGCCTACATAATATAAATTGTTATTTGGTATAATTTGTTTTTGCGTTTATTTTGTATAATTAATGTGAATTTAAAATATGTATGGTAACGTTTAATAAACTATGTAATTAAATTTAAATATTAAAATATCATGAATAAATATGTTAAATATAATATTGTAAATGTAAAATGTATATTTTGGTACACAAGCGAACAAACATATTTCGCTTGTGCATATATATTGCTGTAGGCACTTTAGGTACTTTTGCCAAATTTGTTATAAGTAATTTATAGTAATTTAGAAAATGTGTTGAATTGGTGAAATTAACGTGCAAGGAAACTGCCCAGTAACTATACCAAATAGTGTATGGAAAAAGAGGTAAGCTAACTCGCTTTTTTCATACAATAGTTGACATTATTCCTATCGTTATGTTTTTAGTTTTTAACCATTTAACTGCTAGATATTTAAAACTAAAGCAGACGGGACTCGGACCCCCCGCTTCGAGTCCCGTCTGCTGCACAGTCCGCGTGGACTTCGAGTCCCGTCTGCTGCATAGTCCGCGTGGACTTCGAGTCCCGTCTGCTGCATAGTCCGCGTGGACTTCAAGTCCCGTCTGCTGCATAGTCCGCGTGGACTTCGAGTCCCGTCTGCTGCATAGTCCGCGTGGACTTCGAGTCCCGTCTGCTGCATAGTCCGCGTGGACTTCGAGTCCCGTCTGCTGCATAGTCCGCGTGGACTTCGAGTCCCGTCTGCTGCATAGTCCGCGTGGAAATTTTCTAGTAAAATTTTCTTTAGATTATACCTATCATTGATTTCAATCACCTACGCCGGCCTTTGTGAATGAACCTTTTGAAAGCATGTTGTTTATTGTTATAAAGCTAACCTAAATTGGATGACCGTGTTACAGTCACCTTGAATCCTCTCATTGGTTTACAATGAATTCGTAATGTTTTGTTCATTAATAGCGGCTGCCCACGACCACGTCCCCGTTAACTTTAGTTTATTTTATTATCCTAACACTTTTCCAGGATAAAAAGTATACTATGTCTCTTTCAAGGTTTTAAACTATCTGTGTGTTAAATTTCATCCAAATCCGTTCAGCCTTTTTTGAGTAAAAAACATACTTCTCATCCTATTAGTATTATAATGACTTCATCTGCGTCAACTTTGGTTTATTTCTTATAATTTGTTTATAATGATCAGCCGACCAGGATCCCAGATATAGCAAGTCAAGCGCCTTCTTTACTAGACCTTCTGCTTACGACCCATCCGCAGGAGTATCAGATTGTGGTTCGAGCCCCACTGGGTTCATCAGACCATTGCCTGATATCTGTCAAGGTGCCACAGGCCAAAACCCCTCGACCATTGGTGGTCAAACGCAGGGTCTGGCACTATGGGTCGGCAGATTGGGATGGTATGCGCGATTACTTTGCGTCTGTCCCTTGGAAGCAGCGCTGCTTCAATGAAAAGGACCTATCATCCAGTGCCGTTGCCATTACTGAGGAGATCGTAATGGGAATGGAGTATTACATTCCACATTCTGATCTCATCAGTAAGGGCACACGTAACCGCTGGTTCAATCGCGATTGTGCCGATGCTGTTTCTCGTAAGCAGGCGGCGTATCGCGCTTGGATCAGAGGCCGCGCTCTTAAGGATCCCGGGGTTAACTCATTGAAAGCTGCCTATAATAGTGCTTCCAAGTCTTGTAAGAAGGCTTACATCAGAGCGGATGCCCAACGTGTAGCACGTACTGGCCACGAATTGTTATCGCACCCTACGGGCTCCCGTAGTTTTTGGCGTTTGGCTAAGGCCGTGCAACACAACTTTTGCCAGCCCTCGCTGCCACCTCTGCGATGTCCAGATGGGTCACTAGCTCATGAGCCGCAAGAGAAAGCCGATTTGTTGGCAAAGCTCTTTGCGGCTAACTCCCGAATCAGTGATTGCAATGCACTGCCACCTACACTACCTCATTGTGGCACTACGATGCCTGACATTAAAATCAGGCAGCGTGATGTTCGTGCGGAATTGCAATCACTCGACGTCCGGAAAGCTAGTGGACCCGATGGCATCCCAGCAGTTGTTCTAAAACATTGTGCAGCGGAGTTGTCTCCCGTGCTTACGCGACTGTACCAACTCTCTTACTCTTTGGGGCGTGTGCCGGAAGCTTGGAGAGACGCCAATGTGCAACCGGTGCCCAAAAAAGGGGACCGCTCAGACCCGGCCAACTATCGGCCGATAGCTGTCACCTCAGTGTTGTGTAAAGTCTTAGAAAGGGTCCTTAACAACCATCTGACCCGCTACCTAGAAGATTACTCTCTAATTCACGATCGTCAATACGGATTTAGGCCGAATCGATCGACGGGTGACCTTCTAGCGTACGTGACACACATCTGGGGTGAAGCTATAGACAAGCGGGGAGAGTCTCTGGCTATTAGCCTTGACATCGCCAAGGCTTTTGACAGGGTCTGGCACAAGAGCCTTCTCTCCAAGCTTCCTGCATACGGTCTGCCTGCTCAGCTCTGCGCCTGGGTAGCTGACTTCCTGCATGAGCGTAGAATTCGCGTCCTTACGGACGGATGTAGTTCGCAGTTCATGTCAGTGAATGCCGGTGTTCCTCAGGGTTCCGTTCTATCCCCCACACTCTTTCTGCTGCATATCAATGATTTGATTCCACTTGCGAATATTCATTGCTATGCAGACGATAGCACAGTACATGCGAGATACTTTGGACACGCGGCGGCTGGACAGGTAGAAACCATGGAGAAACGGGAGAATCTTGTCGTTGAGCTCAATCGGGCTTTAGACCACATTTCCGAATGGGGTACTAGGAACTTGGTTGAGTTCAATGCCAAGAAAACTCAGGCTTGCGCTTTCACGGCAAAAACATCGCCATTCCTTCCCCTTCCCTCTCTTCAGGGCACAACACTGGCGCTACAGAGCAATATTACCATGCTCGGTATGGAAGTTCGCTCAGACCTGAGTCCAAAGGACTACATCGAAACGTTGATCAAAACAGCTTCACGCAAACTCGGAGTCCTGAACAAGGTGCGGCGTTTTTTCACGCCCGATCAACTGTGCTTGTTGTACAAAACACAAGTGCGGTCCTGCGTGGAATATTGCTCGCACCTCTGGGATGGCTCCGCAAAGTACTTACTCGATGCCTTGGATAGGTTGCAGCGGCGCGCTGCCCGCATCATTGGCGATGAAGAGGCAACTAAGAAACTCGAGTCTCTACAATTACGCCGTGATGTGGCATCATTAAGCGCATTCTACCGAATATACCACGGCGAGTGTTCTGAGGAGCTATTCTTGCTTATCCCTCCATCACCTTTTCTCCAGAGGACCACGCGCGCTGGCCTACGTTGCCATCGACTTACTGTGGCCACTATTCCTACACGAACAAAGAAATTTGGCGACTCATTTCTTTGTCGTACTATTCGTAAGTGGAATTCTTTACCCGCGCACGTGTTCCCTCCTTCCTATAATCTGGGGTCCTTTAAGAGAGGCGTGAAGAAGCATTTTTGCGGGCCGGCAAGGTGAGGATGGTTGGTGTAGCAGTTAATAACTGCTGTACCAGCTATCTTCGCGTTTGGACTTTATCACCACTTAACATCGGGTGGGGTAGAGTCATTTGCCTACCTAGTAATATAAAAAAAAAAAAAAAAAAAAAAAAAAATTTAGGAATCACAAAGGAACTTAAAAATCCGGGATAAAGATATACTATGTTCCAAACTTTAAGCGTACCGAATTCATCCAGATCCGATCAGTACTTTTTGCGTGAATGAGTAATAAACATACAAACTTTCACGTTGATAATAAATATTAAGTAGGACAAGCTTCGCCAAGTTGGACGTCGCCGGGGTCTAGTTGAAACCCGTGTCTAGCCCTTTGAGCTGACACAATGCTGAAGTTAGATCCTATTTGGCGCGGGCAGACACTTTCTACCAAGTTTGAATTATTTTCCATTTTTTGAAGAGAAACTTCTTTTCCAACGGAGTGTAATTGGAAAAATCCTACGGAAAAGATTAAACGGAAATGCGTCAAGAGCGTCACACGTCTATCTTTATATATATAATTCTTCTGTGAGTGTGTATGTCACTGAACTTCTCTTAAACGACTGGACCGATTTTGATGAAATTTTTTGTGTGTGTTCAAGGGGATCTGAGAATGGTTTAGATTCACAATTTTGTCCGCTGGACAATGTTTTTTTAATTAATTTTTAATTTATTAGTAGTTGTTGATTTAGGAATGTTTTACATTGGATCCGACAGACGGCGCTACCATACTAGACAGGAC